TCTTCTCATCCCATGCTGCACCTCCATGAATTCTCCCTGACTTGTGTGGCACCTCTTGCACACTCCTATGCACCCTTCCTGATCTGCACAACCTCCTCAACTTGCAACACCTGCCCTGCACACCCTTCCCAACACATGCAGCCTTTCTGTGACATGCCTAACCTGTGCAGCAACATTTTCATACTCCTCCCAGGCAACCATCCTGACTTGTGCCACCCCCTGCATGCCCTCCCTGACCCATGTGGCCTCTCTTGCATATCCCCACGACCCTCAAGCATCCTTGTCAATCCACCCCGCCCCTCAGTGCCCTGCCCTACCTGACCCATGTGACACCTCTCATGCTCCCTTCCTGACACACATTGCCCACCCACCTACTATCCCTGAACTAGGCAAATATCTTACACAATCTCATGCACCATTCCCAATCCGCATGATACTTCTTGTACACGTCTATGTACCGTTCCTGTCCTGTGCCTCCTCACTATTTCCTCCACTCAACAGGTACTTACCTTCCTGTTGGTCTTGGACTTGCAATTTTCTGCTGCTTTATCCCCTGCAACCTTCCAGAAGCAAAGTAAATAGAGAGGCTAGCAGGAATTGGAGGGAGGGAGGGAGGAAGAAAGAATGACCCAATAGGGCATGGGTTGTCTAGTACATGATAATCTAGATAGCTAATAGTAACACTCCATAAAAACAAAATACATAAACTCCACAAACCCCACAAAAAACATTTTGCAATGTGGTACTTACCAAAGCACTGCTCTCCTCGCTTTTGATACCCAGTTCGACACTGGCAGGTGAATGATCCCCTTAAGTTGACACAGACCTGATCTGACCTACAGGTGTGGGCACCAGTGGTACATTCATCAATATCTTTTAAAAACAAGGAAAGAAAATGACATATTATGAACTTTGGAAAGGTCGTCATAATGTTTGTATTTCTCTTCAAAATACGAAGATGTTAAAATCAAGGTCTGATTCCAACGTTAGTGGAAGAGAATCATAACTGTCGTCCTGAATAAATCATCCCTCAGCTTATTTCGGCATCCATGGCATTGCCAGTTCTTTTGTAGTCTTTCTCAGCTTCATTTTTTCATCATTTTTCAAAAAATTATGATGTAGGCAGAGATTTCTACAAAGATTTCTTGGGGCAATAACTTGCCAACTTATCTGCCAATTACTGGTGATTCAAAGTAGCCAAGAAGGCTCACATAAAAACAAAATGGGGTATATAAAATCTACCTGAAGTAATAACTCTGTCTCAACAAAAAAGTCCAAGCAATTTTATTCAGATCACATTAGTCAAGGAAAGTAGGATTCTGGATCTCATTTGATAGAGGTGGTTTACTTTCTCTAACGTCATACCTGAACACACAAACACAATGCTGGCTATGTTTATAGTCCTCAGATTTGAGGTAAAGGAGGTATAGCGGCATCCTTGCTTTTATTCTTCTCCATGGCAGATCGATGTTTGAAGGCCGTTATGGAAATGGACAAAACATAACTATTCGCTGAAAGTCCAGGCACAGGTTTGTTGGATTACTGAAGTATTTTGGAGGTTCATCCTCCCCTTTGTAGTGGTATCACTTTAATAGATTAAAATGTTTTTCTCCTCTTTTCCCTTATAGCAAACTGTATCTCTGTAGTGGGTTGTAGATGATTTCCCAGTTTTATGCCTCCTATAATCTAATGCAGTACTATGACATGACTTCCTTCTGACATTCAACACCAACTGGAAGTTTCTAAGCTGAATAAACAAATTCCTTAAAACTAGTTTACAAATCCCAGTTGAACTCTTTGTATTTGTTCAGGAACTGGGACCAGTGGCAGATTCCGGGTGGAGACATGGAAAAGAAAAAAAATGGATTCTTTCTCATGCAAAATGAAAACAATGTTGAACACAAGACTCAAATCACAAATTGAACTGTTTTGACCTTCTTCTTTAAACTTGCTCCCCCTCCAGTTCTCACTTCAAATACCCAAATATTTTCCAACATGCTTCCTTTCTAACTGACAGCTCGATATAAATTTTCTTCCGACCTGCCTTGGTCTTTGAACTGATAGCTGTTATCAGTTCTTAAAAGCTGGTGTACTGCTTAAAAAAAATATACAAAGATGACAGATGGGGGAATGCAGAATTTTTATTAACTTGCAAAATGCCTGTCATATCTCAGGTGGGTTGAGTGTGAGATAAACAGTGAGAGAGAAGGGGAGAGAATGTATATTGCAAGCAAGCACTATATAGTTAGTATGTTTGCATGTATGAATATGGTTGGGGGAATAAGGCTTGCATTTTGAAAAAAAACCCCTGTGTAGTACATATTAGTGCATCTGCACATGCATGTAGAGGTAGTCCTCATCTTATGACCATTTGTTCAGCAACCATTCAAACTTATGGCAGTGCAAAATGAAGGGACTTATGACTGGACTCCAAAGTTACAGCTGTTGCAGTGCCCCCATGTCACATGATCAAAATCCAGGCACTTGGCAGCCCACCTACACTTATGATTGCAGAGGTATTTCAACTTCCCCCATCCACCTATCTCCCCCATCTATGTCCTTTGACCCCCAGCACTCCATGGCTCCTGCTGCCCTACCTGATTTTTTTCTGTATTTCTGCTCCTAAGTGCTAACTAAGCATGCCTGGTCTGCCCCTTCATGAGGCAGCTGATAGCCATATAAGACTTTAGCAAGTCACACACAGTGGTTTCCTCGCAAGAGCTGAGGAAGATGGCCTTACAAGGCCATTAGTAGCCTGAGCAAGAAGATGGCAAAGGTCAGCTGAGGCAGCAAAGCAAAGGGTGGTAGGAACCTAGGAGTGCAATGTTGTGAGGAGTGACTGGCTGGGAACTAGGCTGGAGCGGCTGCAGCTTCGTGTGGCAACTGCAGTTTTGCAGCACACTGTTGGACTGGGCTGAGCTGGACTTTATATTACAAAGGAATTAATGTTGTGCTGTGGCTCAGAGGTTTTCTTGCAGTCCCAGAGCTGCAGTGCATCAAGAAACCCCTTTGTGCTGTGTTCTCGGGCTGGGCTCTGCACTGCGAAGGGATCTGCATTGCACTGTGATTCAGGGCCTTCATGCAGCTCCAGAACCACGATACGCCAAGAAGTCCCTTTGTATTGTGCTGCTGAGGTGACTGAGGCTCACTGGGGTGGCTGTGCTTCCTGCAGTTTTTCTGGCATATTTTTGGAAATGGTATGCTATTGCCCTCCTCCTAGGACTCAGAGGAATGACTGACTCAAGGGCACCAAACTGAGTTCATATCTAAGGTGGGACTAGAACTCACAATCTCCTGGTTTCTAGCCTGGTCCCTTAACCACTACACCAAATTGGCTCTTATTAAAATTTTAGTTTAGCCTATTTCCTGCTATTATGCTTTTTTCAAATAACACAAATGTTTTTTATGTAGAACATTAATAACATCATAGTAGTGATTTCTCATATGCAGCCTACAGTAAGTTTTTTATAATTCACAGATGTCTAGAACCTTGTTCCACTGCACGTAAAGTTAATGGAATCTGTGTGTGCATGA